CAAGTTTGCCGATAAGGTGAGAATAGTGTAGTATGTCTTCACTGCGACATGACAACCACCTTTGATGGTGCGGTATTGTGACGTCATGATCTATTCATGTTTAGATTACCACTTATTTCCAATGTGCTATAAGTACATGCTTAATCGCTGAAGGAACATGCAACGGAAAGACGGTGAGAATTCAGGATTCGTCAAAGCTATAGAACATTTAACTAGTTTTCCTATTCCTGAGTATCTGTGCAATTTCAGCCACCATCATGTGGTCCAGTCAGCCAACGCCCTCGTGTGACCAGGTCGATTGCTGACCCACGGCAAAGAAACAGTACTCGATCAAGATGGATCCGACTAGACAATACGATGGATGTCTCGGCGCAGAAAATTACCGTACTCGACTTGAATGAAACTCCTTCTGGCACGGTAAAGTCTTCATTCTCAGAAAAGTAGTCTATCGATTAATTTGTTCTGCCTCAGGGAATTCCTAAGTGAGCCACTCCTGTTGCACTTTTTAGGAGGAGACTAGGCAAGAGGGTCGAGAGAGTATATAAACGGACAAGACGACAGACATCATCGCGAAAGCGGTCTTACTTACTGGCGCTCGGGCGGAGCCACTAGAGCAATTGTGCGTTTTAGCACCCCTAAGAGTTTCCACTGGAAACTTCCCACGGGAAACTGGCTTTAGGCTGATCGCTACCCACAGTACCTTTATCGACCCACGGCTTTAATTCTTGTATACAGTCGCGGAATGTGATTTACCTTTTGGGAACTCTGCTTCTTACTTGCGGAAGAGCCTATATGAACTTCTCCAGAAAGTTGCTCAACTCACGTGGGAAAAGCTCCCTAAGTTAGCCCCTCCTTGTCGCAGTTGATTCTAAGCGAGGGGAGGAGGTTTGTGAGACTTTCTTGGGAGATACCAGGCAAAAGGTTGAGAAAGCACACACTCGAGCAAGGCGAAAGACAGCAACGTGGGGCGAGTTACTTACGCTCAGGGGAGCTACTGCATCAACGCGTCCAAACGCCCGTACCTACCAACTCTCTGACAACTTGTCCAATCTTAGCATCCTTATTTCCTTCATCCAAAAGAGCTTATGTTTCTTCAATCTACAAGAGCTTAACCTTCCAGGAAATCGCTCAACTCACATCGCAACCTCTTGCCGATTCTGTGTCGAACAGTGGTACTTCAGAATGATGCCGTCTGTATTAGTCCACAAATTGCTATCGTTTTCACTTTGGTTGCCATCGCATCAACGATCGCTGTTGTTATGCTTGGATTGCTACTCACATTGAGATACAGGGCAATGAAGACTTTTGACTAGAACCCCTTCTCAAATTCTTGACGCCTTTCCTCGTGGTTCTAATATTTGTTTATTCTTTAGTATTATGAGACTGGTATGCCTTTTACTCGTTCTTCGCCTGTTCGATAACATTCCCATTCATTTTTACTTTATCTTTCAATTTTCTGCGTTATGATGTCCAGTCCCTATTGGTCTCCTCCCAATGTTCTCTCTGGGATTTTTGCCGTTGTTTGCTTTGGTTACCATTTTTCGCTAGATAAATTTACATTCAGTCAAGAATGCTAGGTTTGCTTACATTCTTCATCTTCAGACGCCATAGGCAGCGTTCAGACTGCACAATTCTTCCTAATAAATTTCGAAACCGAAGTATTCGTACGTAAGAGCGGGCACTCTCCTCGCGAGACACGGCACAAATGAAGAGCAGTAACTCAGAGGTACATTCCTTTCGTCGGATGGGCGGAGACTTCACCTTGTGATTAAGCTGCCTTATTCCTTCATCAGCACTTCCAGTAAAAAAGGTGGTACACCTTGCGCCGCTGTCTCCTTGAAAAGGTTGCTAGCCTACCGGGAATCCTAATAACTCTTTCGCGCTTCAAACCCCTTGCTCCACGACATGCCCTTAACAAGGGAAGGATACCAACTCGTCCTGGCCATTCAGAATGAGATGTATATTCCTAGGAGCGTCTCCGGATACTGATATCAGATCTGACTTCCAAATCTGCTAAACGATTCTGGGTGGAGAGTTACGGACCTTTTTTGCTACCGTGCTTAACCATTGCGGTGCGACCCCCTGCCCATGCTTTGCGCTCGTAAACCCCTCGTGACCCAGCCGCCGCCGTGGCTCGATGGCGCAGCAGGTAAGTGGATGGCTTCATAGTAGTGAGACGGAGGTTCAAATCCTTGATGCATTTCGTAGTTTTGCTTTTTCTTGAAACGCATGCTAAACACTTGGGAAGTAGTTTTGCGTACCTGTCCGACCACCAAGACCCCTCCTGCCCTGCCTACCGTTATTGACGCCCCGCGAACCGATTTTGTGGCAAACTTACACTTTTGCCCAACTACTCAAGCCAAGCGGACCAAATACACAGCATTATCTTGCTTGGCATTCTCGTGAACTGGCGAGAGTTTCATAATCCTATACGATGACAACTGTGTGGCACAAACGAAAGAATTCGTCATCTCTGGTAGCTCTCTTCACTCACGCCCACAATATCAGCCAACATCTTTGCGACCTGTCCACCATAGTTGGAAATGTTCTGCCGGACTCTGGTGCTATCACACCTAGTGAAAGAATTCGGGTCTTGCGATATTGTTTGATCACTATCCCGCAAAGAAAAGAAGATTGCAGAGAGTTTCTATCCTATTGTGCGCGACGCACTGTACTACAACCGTATAATCGACTGCGAGGGAGATAGCTCCGTGGAGGACGAACATACGGATCCTTTCTGGGCATCTGAAGATAACGATGAATCCCTTCAGAGCATCTAGATTTGAACAATTTCTTTCTTAATCCTGGTATTCAGCAGGTTACCTTGACACTCATCCAGACGAGTTCGAGAGTTCTCTCCAATATTGCATTACATATTCTATTGGGAACCACAATGTGCTCGGCTTGTAAGCAAACTTTGCCGACATAATCCGCAATCACAGATAGTGCATTAGGGGTTCGCATAGACTAGACGACAATGTGCTGTGTAACTCGGTAATGAAAAAAAGGCAGAAAAAACTCGTCACCCGCCTTACAATTAGATAGAACCCCATTTCAAGCCACTTTGTACGTGCCCAGTGAGCTCCATCTCCTACACTACGCCCTCATCCACACAGCTTATTCACTATAAGAACTCTACGACCTTACAAGTGAGCTTACGATTTTCATGCTTTTTCGTCCTGCAGCTTCGTTTTTCATTGGATGATGGGCTTTGAAGGCGGAGTCTGGAGACCGAGCCACTGGTAAAGGAGTGTCCTCTTTGGAGCTATATTGCGTTATAGCACCCCTCCCTAACAATTTTTTCGCCGTAAACCAGTACAAGGTTGTTCCTTGCGGACCACTACCCTCGCGACACCATATTTCCAACTTTATTCCTGATCTGGACCAAGCCTTTGATGTTTCCCATTAAATACGAAAATATATGCCTCGAATGAAGCTGTCACGCCAACACCATCAAAATGAACGCTTTCACTGAAGTTAAAATAAAACCCCTGAAAAGTCGCACATAGGCCCTAATAAGAAGCAGGGAGGGGTCTTGGTCGAACAGGTACGGGCCCAAAACTACTATCCCAAGTGGTTTCAGCCATGCTTTTCGAGAAAAAAAGCAAAAACTAGAAATTGCATCAAGATTTGAACCTCCGGTCTCACCTACTATGAAACCTCCACTTACTCTGCGCCAATCGCGCAACGGCTGCCGGCATGGGTCACGATGTTACGAGCGCAAAGCATGGGGGGTCGCACCGCAATGGTTAAGCACGGTAGCAAAAAAGGTCCGTAACTCTGCACCCAGAATCGTTTAGCAGATTTGGAAGTCAGATCTGATATCAGTATCCGGAGACGCTCCTAGGAATATACATCTCATTCTGAATGGCCAGGACGAGTTGGTATCCTTCCCTTGTTAGTTTTTCGCGAGAGCGTGATTTCGTGGCCGTTAAATATAGTTGGGAGGGAAAACCACTCGCGTCGCCGCCTCTGTCTCCCTTCTAAGCTTGAGCCCCCTTACACCGAACTAATTTAGCCCCATTTCGCTGTCGTAACAACCTTCCGTATCTCATGACGCCGTCAGCTTCCAGTACATGTAGACTATTGCCAGGAGCACGAACCCGCTGGAATCAGAGAGCCCATGCAGAGCACTTCGGACAACCTGCTCGGTGACGACACATTCACTACGATTACTGACCGGTAGGACTTTTCAACGATTAGTCCGGTCTGGCCTACGCAGAGGTCTTATATCTTTCCAAACCTGTACCAGTGAGTGACGGTCGGCGGGTATACAGTGAGTGACGTGCTGCACCATTGGCGGAAGAAAACCCATCCAGAAAGCTTTAATCCACCCACCCCGGGCCAAAAATTTGCCACCGGTTCCAGAAGACGTTATCAGTTATTTCTTCCGCTTTTTTTCCTTTACTGGTAAGTCAGCTAGCGCCTATAAACTCATATTTGGGTCCCACTATCTTGACGCTCAGGTAGGGCCCAGACCTTCGCGATGACGTCGCGTCGGACGGCGTGTGGCGTTCTTATGTTAAGCGACTATAACCGCTCCTCACATAATAACAAATATCAACACGAAACGCGACATAACTACCACGAAGTTGTTGCTTCAGCCGGACAAAATTGGGAGAAAAACGACGCTGTTCGGTTTGAGAGGGGCATTCTGCACATCCGCTAGTTCCTGTTTAATTACACCTCTTACCTTGACGAGACCTGTGGACTCCTGTCCAGTGTGAACGAAGCTCCTGCTACTGCACAGCTTAACAAGAATTTACAGGTTTCCACAAGTGGCATCGACAGCAATCGATGGGAGCCAGCAAAGTTAACCCCACCAAGCCGAACTACCCCGAAAAAAACTAGCTAAATAGAGTAAAAAAGGTTTTAAAGTTTTAATCTCCTGAAGCTTCACAGTGAAACCACCGACAATAAGAACAAGATTTTTCCTATCTAAAAACAATCGTACAATCGTTAAAAGAGGCAGCTTTTTAATAATTACTTTATCTCTTGTACACTATAACAAGAACTCAACACTACTAACTCATTTAATGCCTAGGCTTTGAACGTAGCTAGGAAGTTCACGACAACCTCCTTCAACTTGGCATCAGTAGCTGGTGAGATTTGACCCTCGTTGTGGATCGTTTTCAGGAGCTCTTGTTGTGATGAACGGATGTGAGCGAGGAATTCCTTCTCGAACTTGGTAATTAGGGATGGATCGACCTTGTCAAGATGTCCTTTGACTCCGGCGTAGATAACGGCTACCTGCACAATAATCACATTGAGGACTAGGGTAAACTAACTGGTAAACGTTTGATGCAGTACCTGTTCCTCAATAGCCATTGGCACATATTGTCCCTGCTTGAGCAGCTCAGTAAGACGGACTCCTCGATTCAACAGTTGTTGTGTGGAGGCATCAAGATCGGAACCGAATTGAGCGAAAGCAGCGACCTAAAGGGCAAAATAATTGCTCATTAGAAAATGTGTGTCATAAAGATCCTTTTCTATTAATATTCGATGTTCAGTATTTCCTCAATAGATGTCAAATGAACCGCATATCGTTAAAGGTAGTAGGCGTGATTGCTGGGAGGCGGGCGGTTGTTGCTAACGTCATTAGTGAAAGAACTGCGAGTGAGCGTGTTGGCCACACCCCACCCAGCCCTTCCACCAATGACATTGGCGGCAACCGCCCGCCTTCAGCAATCAAGCCAACGGCCTTTTAAGTATTCTTCTGCTCCGCAGCTTCATTATATCTGAAAGCTTAGAAGCAGCGTGGAACTCTAAATTTAGATTCAAAAAGACATAAAAGCCTCAAAACTTTTCCAATTTTACTCATCTTGCTATATTTGGGCCAGGCATGCAAATGAGGGCTTGTTACTACAGTTAGATAATATAACAAACATGTTAACCTAGTATACCCAGAATGAAACCCCTAACCACAATGTTAAATCCACTGGACGAGCTGGCAGTCCGTGTAGGCATTAGATTGAATCAGAGCATGCTATATTATCTAACTATGAGTAGGACACAACCCTCACTTCAGGCAAGGCGAAGGCGCTAAAGACAGGAAGTCCGCCAACTTACCATGGAACTTTGAATGGAGACCTGGGTAGATCGATAGAGTCTATAAGGTTATTTACAAATATAGATAGCAAAACTGCAACCTGCATTTCACAAGCAACTTATGAGCAGGTAAAGTTTGTCTAAGGTGCAGTAGGGTGGCTTGCTGGTGAGCTGTGAAGCAAGAATCGGCATACGTCGCCCAGTCGGGTCGTCCGAAACGTCGAACCGTTACGCCACTACGTCCACCGACTCGATTCGACCACCGCTAAAGCCTCCAGCCCTACGGGGCACCAATTACAAACTTTACCTGCTCATAAGTTGCTTGTGAAATGCAGGTGCAGTTTTGCTATCTATATTTGTAAATAGCCTTTATAGACTCTATCGATCTACCCCGGTCTCGGTTCAAAGCTCCATGATAAGTTGGCGGACTTCACTGGTAAGCACCGAGACACATCAAGGTAAATACGGTTTTTTTTCGAAAGAACGTTCAAAGACTTCCATATCTTTAGACTTCTAGAATTGAAATTTTGAAGTTTTCACGCTGAACGTTTTCGCTCAAAAAACTATGACTTGAGCAGTACCCGCGAGTTAGCAACCGGTTCGAAGCTTCGAACTTAATGGAGAACTTAGTCGCGCACAGTGCGCCGCTTCAGAGAATAAAGGGGATAAATGCGAAACAAGAGCCGCCAACTTCTAAGTTGGGCTAATTTCCCACAGAAAAGTTTCGACTCGATGTCAGAGGTTTGCTGTGCCTGATGGAGAGTATGGCAGCCCTTGTAGCCTATACTGGTGTGGCAAAACATACCAATGCAGGCATATGGAAACGGAGCGGTGGAGCAGACTTAGCTCCATTATATTATCCCAGTACTCTCTACAGAACATCACTGGCAAAACGAACGCTAGCCCAAACCTCATCATTCGGAGTGCGCGGATAAACTAGCAATTCCATTAAAAAAGAGGTCTTTGGCTATGCTCGTATGTTCACCTACCCATAGAAACTTACAGGAACCGATGATTCGTCCATACAAGCGCATGCTCTAGGTGAGGTGAACTGCATTTCAACACTACTCCACTAATGCAGAGTCACTTTATCCTCGCCCCTCTCCCCCTTCCACCCCCCAAGGCTTACTTCGGAGCTAAGAAAGCTAAAATCATAGCCTACTTGTCGTCCCAACCTGAACAGATTGCAAGAAAATTCTGATGGAAGCCACACAATCGCGCATTTTCAGGCCTACTTGGGACCACTATTCATCGATTTTCCTCCATTTCCATGAAAATGACTCCGTAAAACTCCGGAGAACGACTATGACTTATGGTTAGCAATGCGAATATTTTTTTGCACCATACGTATACAACTTTACTATAAAACCTGATTTCGAGAACAAAACCCACCTCACGATATTGGGCGAGCTCGAGCTTCATGGAACCGGCGACTTGCTTCATGGCCTTGGTCTTGAGCAGCAGATCCTACTCGAGATACAGACAGACCGACGTTGATGGCTGGTCGAACTCCCTTGTAGAACAATTCGGTCTCAAGGAAAATCTGTCCGTCAGTGATGGAAATCACGTTGGTGGGAATGTAAGCAGATACATCACCAGCTTGTGTCTCAATGACTGGGAGAGCAGTCAGAGATCCACCGCCAAGTGAGTCGTTCATCTTAGCCGCACGTTCGAGTAGACGCGAGTGAAGGTAGAAGACATCACCAGGGTACGCTTCACGACCGGGAGGACGACGCAGAAGCAGAGACATCTGACGGTAGGCGACGGCCTGCTTGGACAAATCGTCGTAGATGATCAAAGCGTGCTTTCCATTGTCACGGAAAAACTCTCCCATAGCACATCCGGAATAGGGAGCCAAGAACTGCAGAGGAGCAGCATCAGAGGCTGTCGCTGACACAACGATGGTGTACTTCATGGATCCAGTGTCAGTAAGACGCTTCACGATCTGTGCAACAGTGGATCTCTTCTGTCCGATAGCGACGTAGATACAGTACAGCTTCTTCTTCTCATCAGTTCCAGCGTTGAAACGAGCCTGGTTGATGATAGTGTCGATGGCAATGGCGGTCTTTCTGAATAAAGAAACAACAGTACAAAGAACCAGTTGCTTTTCCAGGCGCTTTTAAGGCACTAGCAATCTTGCCCTGCTCTTCCTGGTCGGCGGAGGCCAGTGATTTTTCTTTGTCTAACCTTATTTCGCAGAAGACAGAAGAACCCGCCTATTAATTGGGATAAACGGGACACGGACAAGACAATCGGATTTGCCGCGACGTCGCGTGCGATGATGCGAAACAAATTCTCGATATGAATCAGTTTGCCGATTGGACCAGCGAATTAGAATAGAGACGAAGACAAGATTTCATTAGCGATGAAGAATTTCCTTTCCCGTTCCTTCAACATTCAACTTCAAACGGCCGGGCAGGACAACTCGTCTATCAAAATCGTCATCGCTCGCCCGCCCACTAGCGCGGTAGCGATTGTCTTGCCACACAGCCATGATAAACAAAGATATGAGACAAGGCTTTCCCATTGGTGGGTGTGCTAAGCGACGCCGCGATCGATGGACGAGTTTTCAAGTCTGGAAGTTTAAATTTGAGTGTTAAAGGGAAGGGAAAATTCTTTATCGCTGGTCATGGAATCTTGTCTCCGCTTGAACTCTCAATAGTTTCGCTAATCCATTCGACAATTTGATACATATGTGGCGCATCGCCGTACGTAACAAAGTACGCTTGTCTTGTCCGTCTCCTGGTAAACAACTTTAGATGACCAGTCAAGTTGCTACTACACAAATAGCGCAATTTTAACGGCGAAAACACTCACCCGGTCTGACGATCACCAATGATCAGCTCACGCTGTCCACGACCAATTGGCACAAGTGAATCGACGGCCTTCACACCAGTAAGCATAGGTTCACGGACAGATAGTCGAGGAATAATACCGGGAGCTTTCACTTCTACACGTGAGCGAGTTTTGCAGGCAATGGGACCCTTTCCGTCGATGGGCGTTCCCAGAGCATCGACGACACGTCCGAGTAGGGCTTCTCCGACAGGTACGTCCACGATAGCACCGGTACGTTTCACAATATCTCCTTCTCTGATGACTTTATCGTTACCGAATACTACAACTCCCACATTGTCGGGCTCCAAGTTAAGAGCCATTCCCTGGAAAATGGAAGTTTTGACCAAAAGCGCTATAAAAAGAATGAAGTAAGACATTGAGTTAGAAATCTCACCTTGATACCCGAATCGAATTCCACCATTTCTTCAGCCTGGATGTTCTTCAAACCGTACACACGGGCGATACCGTCTCCGATGGAGAGCACCTGAGTAAGGAAACCTATATGAAGCCTGCACGCATACATAACTAACCAAAATGAGATCAATTTTCCGGTACTTTTTTAGCCCACTCAACTAATCACATGGGGCCATCACGGCCAAGAAGCCAAGAACTACGGGTTACTGCCGATGTGTTTACTGATTCCTTAGCCATAACACACGATTCGGCGCATTCAGCTTTTTCCTGCGAGTTCAACCACCCGAAACCCACAAATTGGAAGCTAAACTAGTGGTACACATCATGCTGACTTCGATAAACTATCACTCCATTTCTTGCAAGTTTGCGTGACTAAGTAAAAATGCGTTCATACTTTGAGGCAGCCTTTTGGTCGGCTGCCAGCTTTTCAGCGACTTGAGCGTCAGCACTCTGAGCGTTTTCAGCGGCAATCGATAGCTATACATTCCAATTCGCTCAGAACGCTAGATCGACACCTATGTTAACCAGCCGCTCAAAACGCTGACGCAAAGAAGAACACACTCTAATAGTGCCAGGACAACTCTCACATCCAGTCAGGCCTACAAGAAGACACATAACACCTCTCATGAGTAATTCTGAGATTTATCCTTCGAAATCACTGAACGAACGGGTATAGGGAAAGAGAATAGACTGGATGCTTGTGTAGTTAAGCGCTGCCTTTTATAGAACCGCTCGCATTAGGATCAATACAAGGGTGCACAGTCTGTTTAAGCTTTCAAAGATCGTTTCCACACCATTTTCTAATTTATTTTCCTTCCGTGTGGGCGACATTTAAGGCTGCAAGGTGCGACGAAATATTGCGAATGAAATAATGACTTTTTGGCCTATGGCTCGAGGACAGGAGCTCAGGGATGGGCGAGCCACACTCAACTACCCGGGAAAGGGCTCTTCTTGATTGCTAGCATTAAAATACAAATGTTTGCAGCGGTTTTAGTGCCATGAGAGCCGAAATGCTACGCTTAACCACACCAGTGCCTGAACTCTAGAAATTACGAAAACACTAACTATTTTGCAAGCCTCGCAGCTCTTTTGCTCCCAAGCTCGTAAAAATCATTGTAGAATTGAAAACCTATCCAAACCAACCTTTCCAGTTTCCTCGAGCTTAATGCTGCTCTCTTGGCCAAGAATACGTTCTTCAAGGATCTTTGAGACCTCTGAACCACCAACCGCCATACAGCGGGCTGATGTGGCGATTCCTGCATTCTGGGACGCCTGCAATTAAAAAAAGTTTCATTCAAAAAAAGCCATGAAAGCGAGTGTGAGAACACTTTACATGAAGAAAGAACATCAAAATGACTAGGAATGATCTAGTTTTGGAGGCGTATTTGGTCAAAAGATGAACGTGAGAGGTGGTCCTCTTTTCGAATTGGGAAAGGAAATTGTAGTCCCACTATTTCCTTAAAAAAGAGCAAATGCTCGCAAATTAAAAATTACAACTATGGAAATTGAATAAAACGACATTCCAGGACCCAATTCAAGGCTTGAAAATGGGTTACAGAATCTTAATAGATGATAAATCCAACTCTTACCTTAGCGCTGGTGGTGAGAGCAGAAATAAGCCTCTTGGACAACATTTTCCTCCTCGAGGTGGCTGGGAAGAGCCTTCAAGCAGTGCTGCGACGGATTCTTGAGCGAGATGCCCTCGCACGCCTAGACAGGTTGAGAATAGCTAGACGTGCGGCAAGTTAGAGGCTAAACTACTGTACTTTGTGTCTGCATTAGCGCTCGGCCATTTATTCGCCATGTAGCGACAGTCTTTGGAAATTATTTCATTTCATATGGTTTTTAGTCACCCTTTTACAGACGGAAACACTTTAACTTCGATTCCATTCCTTATTTTGTGGGATTTCCAACTCGACTCATTTTTTAAGTTTGATCAAACCTTTAATTCTAATGGGAAATGCTTCGGCAGCATGCGATCTTATTTCGAAAAGCTCGGAAGGGCTTTAATTTTGTTTTGTTACGGTGTATTACCAACTGTTTCGAAACTTTTACGAGGATACACAGTAAAATAGCATGTTCAAATTGTTTAGCAGAAATTTATCTCAGCAGCTCGAGTGTACTAGTGCCATTACAAAATATCACGAATATCACGAGAGCTATTGATGAATTTATTTTGTTACTTAATCGCCCTTTATTCTTTAGGTCACGCTGATTTTTTGCCACACAAGGCTCTTCAAAATATACGATGCTTTTTGCTATTCTTTCTGGTGGCCTTGGATTTATTTTTCGAACTCTTAGGGAAAATTAGTGACCAACTTGATCAGCGCCACTCCTCTAATTATGAAAGGAAAGCGTTCGTTTTCGACGTAGAAAAAGGTGAGGACCCCTGCACGAGAAGGACTGCATCCATATGATGAGATCTGGACTGTTGTTTCCTTTGGCAAGTATCTTTCCATTTCGAAGTGACATTTTGCGATTTTGCGACAGCTGGCCCAACAATCCAGCGTAAAGACAAACCCCGCGGTTGAAAATTGTGAATAATGGGGTTAACACATTGGCGACAAGGCGCCTTTTCGCGTGTCTGCCGCGTGGGACAAAGCAGTTTTTCCCTATTTTCGAAGAATGCGCATAAATGCTAGGCGTTTATACGCCAAAAAAATTGAAGAATGGTCAGAATTCATTGCAGAAGCTAGTAAGGCTTCGCTATTCTTGTTTACTTTCAAGATAAACCCTGAAATTTCATGGAATACTCCCGCCTCATTCACGTGGAGCGTGGGAACAAGGTCGCAAAAAAGGAATATTTTCGCGCCAGAGGTGGTAAATTGGATTCGATTCAGATCTGCTATTGTTGAAAGTTACCTTATCACATTAGCTATCTGCATGTGGAGCTTCAGTTCTATATATCCAAGAATTATCTTTTTTTCCTAGGAAATCACTTTCGTTTGTCTCCTCGGTAAAATACTCTCAATGACACAACTGCACGGTTTACAGCTACTGTATATTCTACAATGCCTTCATGGACAATATGCAGCTGTTGAAAATTCGAAACGTCTTCAAGTCCTCAAATTGGTTTTTTACCCATG